CTCACATCAATAGTGTTAAAGCATTCCTATTTCTCCATATCCTCTCCGGCATCTGTTGTCTCCTGATTTTTTTAATGATCACCATTCTAATTGGTGTGAGATGGTATCTCAATGTGGTTTGATTTGCATTTCTCTAATGACCAGTGATGATGAGCTTTCTTTCATATGTTTGTTGGCTGCATAAATGTCTTCTTTTGAAAAATGTCTGTTCGTATCCGTCACCTACTTTTTGATGGGGTTGTTTTTACCTTATAAATTTGATCAACTTCTTTGTAGATTCTGATTGTTAGCCCTTTGTCAGATGGGTAGATTGCAAAAATTTGTGCCCATTCTGTTGGTGGCTGGTTCACTCTATGATAGTTTCTTTTGCTGTGCAGAAGCTCTTAAGTTAGATCCCACTGTCGCATTGCTTTTGGTATTTTAGTCATGAAGTCCTTGCCTATGTCTATTTCCTGAATGGCATTGCCTAGGTTTTCTTCTAGGGGTTTTATGGTGTTAGGTCTTATGTGTAAAACTTTAATCCATTTGGAGTTAATTTTTGTATTAGGTGTAAGGAAGGGATCCAGTTTCAGCTTTCTGCATATGACTAGCCAGTTTTCCCAGCACCATTTATTAAACAGGGAATCCTTTTCCCCATTGCTTGTTTTTGTCAGGTTGGTCAAAGATCACATGGTTGTACATGTGTGGCTTTATTTCTGAGGTCTCTGTTCTGTTCTATTGGTCTGTATCTCTGTTTTGGTTCCAGTACCATGCTGTTTTGATTGCTGTAACCTTGTAGTATAGTGTGAAGTCATGTAGCATGATGCCTCCAGCTTTGATTTTTTTTTGCTTAGAATTATCTTGGCTATGTGGGCTCTCTTTTGGTTCCATATGAAATTTAAGGTGGATTTTTCCAGTTCTGTGAAGAGAGTCAATGGTAGTCTAATGAGAATGGCAGCGAATCTGTAAATTACTTTGGGCAGTATGGCCATGTTTACAAAATTTATTCTTTCTAACTATGAGCATGGAATGTTTTTCCATCTGATTGTGTCCTGTCTTATTTCCTTGAGCAGTGGTTTTTAGTTCTCCTTGAAGAGGTCCTTCACATCCCTTGTTAGTTGTATTTGTAGGTGTTTTATTCTCTTTGTACCAGTTGTGAATGGGAGTTCACTTATGACTTGGCTCTCTGTCTGTTATTGGTGTAAAGGAATGCTTGTGATTTTTGGACATTGATTTTTTTATCCTGAGAGTTTGCTGAAGTTGCTTATTAGCTTAAGGAGATTTTGGGTTGAGACGATGGTGTATTCTACGTATACAGTCATGTTGTCTGCAAATAGAGACAATTAGACTTTGTCTTTTCCTATTTGAGTACCCTTTATTGCTTTCTCTTGCCTGATTGCCCTGGCTAGAACTTCTAATACCAGGTTGAATTGGAGTGGTGAGAGAGGGCATCCTTGTCTTGTGCTAGTTTTATAGGGGAATGCTTCCAGTTTTTGCCCATTCAGTATGATATTGCCTGTGGGTTTGTCATAAATAGCTTTTATTATTCTGGGATATCTTCCATCAATACCTACTTTATTGAGAGTTTTTAGCATAAAGTGCTGTTGAATTTTGTCAAAGGCCTTCTCTGCATCTATAGAAATAATCGTGGTTTTTGTCTTTGGTTCTGTTTATGTGATGGATTATGTTTATACATTTGATTATGTTGAACTAGCCTTGCATCCCAGGGATGAAACCGACTTGATTGTGATGGATAAGCTTTTTGATGTGCTGTTGGATTCAGTTTGCCAGTATTTTATTGAAGATTTTTGCATCAATGTTCATCACGGATATCGGCCTGCAATTTTCTTTCTCAATTGTGTCTCTGCTAGGTTTTCATATCAGGATGATGTTGGTCTCATAAAATGAGTTAGGGAGGATTCCCTCTTTTTGTATTGTTTGGAATAGTTTCAGAAGGAATGGTACCTCTGGTAGAATTTTGCTGTGAACCTGTCTGATCCTGGACTCTTTTTGGTTGGTAGGCTATTTATTGCTGCCTCAATTTCATATCTTGTTATTTGTCTATTCAGGGATTCAACTTCTTCCTGGTTTAGTCTTAGGTGGGTTCAAATGTCCAGAAATTTATTCATTTCTTCTAGATTAACTGGTTTATTTGCATAGAGGTGTTTATAGTAATCTCTCATGGTAGTTTGCATTTCTGTGGGATCGGTGGTGATACCTTGTTTACCATTTTTTATTGTATCTATTTGATTCTTCTCTCTTTTCTTCTTTAGTAGTCTGGCTTGCCTTCTATCTATTTAGGTGATTTTTTTCAAAAAACCAACTCCTGGATTGATTGATTTTTGAAGGGTTTTTTGTGTCTCTCTCTCCTTCAGTTCTGCTCCCATCATAGTTATTTCTTGTCTTCTGCTTGCTTTTCAATTTGTTTGTTCTTGATTCTCTAGTTCACCTAGATACATAAAGCAAGTTCTTAATGGCCTACAAAGAGACAAACAGAGTTTGGAGGTATGAAAAGAGGATTTGAAATAATCATTGCAAAGAATGTTCTAGTAGTTGATCAGGGGAACAGTAAAGGTGAATGGAATGGCCAGGGCACTACTGAAATTAGTTATTTATGTTCTCATAAGTTCATCTGATTCCTTCCATGGAGTCAGCAGTTCTGTACTTCACAGTAACATGAGAATCACCTGAAATGCTTATGAAACACAGATTGCTGGGTCCCACCATCCTGGAGTGTCTGATTGAGGAAATCAGAGTGGGCTCTAAGAATCTGCACTTCTAACAATTCCCCAGGCGATGCAACTGCTGCAGGTTCTGGGACCACACTCAGAGCTGCTCTTTCTCCCTTCTAATGATTTTAACTCCCAAACCCCTAAATTTGGTGAGTTTGGTCCATTTCACTTAAAAAAAATACATTCTTGTCATCTTGTTTGAATTTACTGATTCGTTATATCACTTTTCTGCTTCTCTAAATTCCTAAGACATTTTCAATAAACTTAACCATACCGTATTATTAAAGTATAGGTAATAAACCCACAACAAACTAACCATCCAGTATTACTCACAATGTATTCCAACATTATCTTATTTTCTAGGTAGGCATTTCCTCCATGTTTCATACAATTTCCACCCACTTTCATCCTTGACTATTTTTTTTTTTTTTTTTTTTTTTTGAGATTGAGGCTCACTCTGTTGCCCAGTTTGAAGGGCAGTGGGACAATCCCAGCTCACTGCAATCTCCACCTCCCAGGTTCAAGCAATTCTCATGCCTCAGCCTCCCCAGTAGCTAGGTTTATAGGCACAAGCCACTGCCCCAGGCCTATCCTTCACTATTCTTATAAAATGAATGTTCCTTAAACCTCTATACAATAATATAAATATTATCCATGGTTAAAGAACTTGTCCTTTATAAAAGATTCTTGAGTTCTGGTCCAAACCGCTATCGTCTTTTACTAAACTACTATTGCACCAAGAATCTTCACCACCTCACTTTGCTTTTCAGTAATTTTGAATAATTCTCATTTATCTATGTGACTCAATAGTAAGCTATCTGATAAAGGAATAAGGACTTTATACGGGATACTATCAATTATATGTTTCTATATATTCCTACGTAGAAATCACAAATATGATCCTCTTTGGAGTGCAAAATAATTTTGTTAAAGGTCTCAAATGCATGAAAAAATGCTCAAAGTCATGAAAAAAAAATTCTGGGTGAACAGGCCATGCTATGTGCTTGTTTGTGTCATCATGTATTTTGTTGTTGTTAAACAGAAAAATAAAAACTAGCAGCCTCTGCTTCATAATAATGCAAGGAAATGATCTTTCCTATTTGGTTAACTTGCATTGAGAGCATAAACCAATGTTAGGGTGAGTAGAAATTTTTTATCTATACAATTTAATTTTCATATCCAGACTAAAGTTAAGATCAGAATCGCTTCTTACCTTAGCTCTATGATTTATCTTCTGATAGTTATATTACCCAAAATATCATAAGCGTTATCTATTACCATTATAACCATTCTCTTTACATACCCATATTGCTTCACTATTGCAGATATCAGGTTTATAAGATTCCTAAAATATCTTGTCCAGAAAAATATTTCTTCATTTGAACTGCAAACTACACATTTTATTAGCTTCCAGCAAAAGACCGGATGTAAATATTTAGCCAACAATTACAAAATATGAGAATCAAACTCATGTTTCTATTTTTTTTACATCTGCCAAATACAATTAAGGTTTGTCCTGTGACTTACTGAGGGGAACAACAATAAAATATTCTTCTTTTGGGTATCTTTAGAGACTTAGCTTAAAATAGACTAATACTAACAACAGAAAAATTCCCATGGATTTTCCCCCTTCTTTTTTCAAAACACTGGCCTGCCAAAACAATAATCTGTGTTTTGGGCCCAAGCCATGATGCAGCTCTTCTAAGTTTTCCAAACTCAGCTGAACAGCACTTACTACCTTCAAGTAACATGGCTTAGTCTTTGTGTAATTATGGACCTCAGAGAATTATAAGTAAGTTATCTTTTAAGGTCAGCATAGGGAAGGAAGATAGATTAATCAGAAATTTTGCAGAGACGATCTTTTTGCAAAGAGTGCTCTACATACCAAGTCTGATATATTATAGGGCTGACAGTTTAGGAAAACCAGCATCCTTCCTTTTTTTCTCCCAAGTAAGGAAATAAATCAAGAGAATAGCTAATGTTAGTCAAATGGAGACCAACTGATAAGATAAAAAAAAAGTAAGCTGTTTATACACAGAAGGTGCCATTATTCACTTCCCTTCTCTTTTTTGATTTATGACATTGTCTCAACAAAGCTATATACCTTTGAAAAACAATAGAAACTTCCAGAAAAAGTTTGCATTTCACATGCTATTACTGCCATTTTCATGTTATTTTACCAAAATTACATTTAGGCTTCATAAAAGAGTCTGGCAGGACTTTTAATGAAGTCAGTTTTAATGCTACTGAAAACTGTAAGACCATCACACCGAAAAAGTGACCACATACCTACTGCTGTCATGTAATCCCAGCGGTCAATGAGGCACATATTGAAGATGAGGTGATCGGATGTTTGCCCCTGGCCAATAAGTGAAATCTGTTTCTCCAAATTCTGGCACACAGATGAAGTCCAGCCAATGAGAAACCAAAACACTACCAAGAGTATTACTGCCAGCATTCTCATGACCCGTCCTCCAGTCATATATGGAATTCGTTGAGCCGTTCGTGAAAGAAATACCTTCAAAACCCTAGAAAAGTAAAAGTTCAAATATGAAGGCAAGCCTAACACTCCAAAAGTAAAATTCTAAAACAACTTATTTCCTAAGTAAAATGTAAACCCACCAAAATCCACTTAATCAGCATGTGCTTTGTTTGTGGTTTTGCTTTTTAGAGACAGAGTCTCGCTATGTTGCCCATGCTGGAGTGCAGTGGCTATTTGCAGGCCCAGTCATAGTGTACTGTATCCTTGAACTCCTGGGCTCAAGCAATCCTCTTGGCTCAGCATTCCAAGTAGCTGAGACTCTAGGCATGTGCCACTGTGCCTGGCTTATGCAGAGTTTTAACATGAGAAAATCCAGAAACAATATTGTTCATATTTTTATTTAATTTTATCTTAGTTTATCCTCCAATAGCAAAACAAATTATCTTTCATTAGAGTCCATTAAGTCAGTAGGTTAATATATAATGGGATTTCTTTGAGCATGTCTTAATATTTCAAGGAAAATTCTCAGGATTTTAAAAAGATCCGTAGGCAAACATTGCTTTAACAAGATTTCTGAGGGATCAAAAAATAGTCCTGAAAGTAAGTGGTTGTATTTTACAACATTATACTAACTCAAAACACTTCCTTGAACCAGTTGTTTCAACAGTAGAATGTTTTTAAAGATATTTTCTGAAAATCATTTCATATTACCTACTTTCTTGGTCATTTTATTATATTACCAAAAATAATAGGAAGTCATAATAAAAATGAGAGGAATATTTAAACACCAGGTAGACTAAATAAGGTCAGTGCATTAAGGAAGAAACTTGGGAATATCTATAGGAAATGTGATTTTTAAAACTTAAGAGTTATTTTCTGTATATATCTCAGATGAATAGCCAGAGTTGAGAACTACTAGATTAGATGATATCTAATAACTGTTGTATCTCTAAATATTTTGTGAAGACAAACTCCAACCTTACTATAGGAATTCTCTATTCTTAAATTTCATTTCTAAAATATTCTTGGCTGATTTTAACTCCCCACCCCATTCTGATATTTTGTCACAAAATTATGATTTGATATAAACCACCATGATTGGTTTATGATACTGTGAGAGTATCTGTAATCAATTTCCATAGGCATAAAAAAAAATACATTTTCCCAATGTTCTATTCTCTCCTTCACCTCATTCTTTCAATAATTTTAAGCCATATGAATTTTTTATAAAGATCATTCTAAGTCCAGAAATGAAGCCAATACACCTGAAATAGCCTAGATGTACTATGCTATATTTTTCCTCCATACATAGACCTTTGGCAGTTATCCCTGAATTAACACAACACATCCAGTAAAGAAAGTTGCTTTGCAGCTTATTCTCATTTATACTCCTCCCCACCCAATATCTTTAACCCCACTGTCCTTCAGGACAGAGGGTAAAGTTACTGAATTATTAATAAAATACTTCTCAATTTTTCCACGGAACAATGTCATAAATATAGTAACAAATAAAAGTGCAAGAGAAGATCTCTTAACCACTCTCCATCTAGTCAATTTCCCAGATTAACAGCTACTCTCCATTCCTTATATGCAATGTATTAAGTGCCATCCGTGTCACAGTGCACGCTGACACTGGCAGGTAACATGCTATTACTCTTCCCTATGCGTAAGCACTTCTGCTCCAACTGGCTTAATTACTATTTGTTATGAGTCAGGTGTATTTATTCTCAAATTATACATGATTACTTTAATATTATATAAATATAATTTTTATTTAATATTTCTATATTTCATATTTTATAAATATTTTAATATTTACATATTTCATAAAATGATTATGAAATAAAGGAGACATAGCTATGAAATGTCTCTTGAATGCTTTGGAAAGACTAACACATTAAAATGTTAACTTAGCAAAAGGAAGGAATTTTAATATACAGAATGGTCAATAAACAGAAAGCTAGAAAAGCTCTACACTTAGATTACTTCAAAAAAATTTGACACAATGCAGTAGACAATATATTTTGGTGATTTGTGCTATAGAGAGAACAATGAACTCTAAATATCAAACCCATAGTCAAAAAGAAGCCTTATTTCAAAGACTGTTAAGTGATTATTTGTGTTTTAAATTACAGTATCTATATACTTTTTAAATGCTTTTCTACTTTAAAAAACTTCATCAACAAATTGACCAAATATAATACCAAGTCCAGTTATGCTGTTTAAGAAGACTTCCATTGTAACTGACAGATTGAAAGAGTCAAGAATTCTACCTTAGAAGTAAGAAATTGTTTTTGGAAAATATTTTTGCCAGTTCCAATCTTATTTCCTATAGGAGAAACTTGTAATCATAATTTACACCTATTTGTTTCTGGTTGAACCTAGGTGAATTATAAAATTTGAATGACTGCATTCTCCAGAGAGAACCTGACCCATTTTTCTTCCACAGTTGGGCAAGGGCAGAAAAACAGAAAATTGGTGTTCCAAATTCTAGCTTTACTCTTAATGTGAACATTTTAAAAGTAAATATAATGAACAAACATTTAAATAGTGACAACCGTATGTTAGGCATCATGGAAGGTATAAGATATCATTCTTGTCTCCTAGAAGCTTACAATATAACTAGAAGTAAGTTTGCAAAGAGCTGTCATATGCAATAGCTAACATTACATACTGATGGGGCTATTAAGTCTACTAACCCAATAGGATAGGTAGTATTTGATCTGGGTTTTGGGGGATATCAATAGGTAGAAATGAAGGCAAGTGGAAAGATATAAGGAGATATTCTAATTAACAGAAATCAAAACCTGAAAAACATAAGCTGTCTTTAGGGACAGTAGGGGGAACCGGCTGGCAGGAAGGAAAGCCTGGTTCTCAATACCCAGGAACTCTAGGGAGTTTTCAAGTTAAGGCAAGGAGTTTTCATCAGGTTAAGAAACAGTATTTCTCACATTTTGTTCATGGAAAGAATATATAGATCGTAACTACTTTTCCCTAAAGCACTATTTTTTCTGATAATTAGAGTTTCACAATTCCCAGTGAAATGTTAAATCTCATGGAAAGCTAATAGTGGAGTTGTTAGGTAACTGTTTCCTTTAAAATACTTCTTAATCAGTTAAGTTTGGTCTTTTGCAAAGGAAATCTAAGATCCCAGTTCTAGTAATCTTTTACTAAAGAAATTCCATTTCTAAATTACCAGAAATGTTCATGTTTTCCAGATGGCCCTTTGGGTAATTATTGTATAGCTTGAAAATTCAAGATTGTCATAAATCCCCATAATCTCATTTTAAAGAGAAAAACCAGAGCAAAATCCCTTATAAGTCTCCCATTATTGATTTTACTGGCTTTCAAATAATAGAAAACATAATAAACACAACTCTACACTTCAACATAAGAATTTCAGAATATTGGTTTTGTAAAATGGAGTAAGATACATTTTTCTAGGATTGTCTTAAAATAAGCTTAGAAGCCAAATTATAAAAAAGAATACACAGATATGCATTTGTATGAAATACAACTGTAGAAAAAAAATCATTGGACTTCCTGTATGGATTACTTTTCCATTATTGTTTCATAGATAAATCTTCAAGAGACTATCAGTTTAGGTTTCACTATTTCTGAAGGAAAGTCCAACATATATGAGAAGACTGCAGGAAACTTCCAAAATTTAATATGAAAAGGCATATTTATAGCATGCATTCAATTTTCATTTTTAATAGCAGATATATTCATGGGAATTATTCTGAAATGAAAAAAAAAAAAAGGCAACCCAGAAATTGTCATTTCCTCTACATTTCTGGTTCAAACTATATAGCTCACCATAAGAACTTGTACTTGGGTTATCCATGACCTTCCTCCAAGAACTGATAGTGTTCACTTCTTATTTTACATGACCTCTCCCCAGCTTCTGGTATGACTGGAGCTCCTTTTCAGTCTCAATTGCAAACTTCTCTTCCTCACTCTGCCTCTTAAATGGCAGTGTTTCCAAGGATCTCCTAAATGTGGCAATGTTCTATTACCACGACATATCTCACCTAAGCAACTCCATTGGTTCCCTTGTCCCGGGTATCATCTACATGCCAGCAAGTCCCACCTCTACATCTCTGGTTCAGATCATGCTCTTGAGCCTCGATCCTTGCTATGGGTCATCAGCAGGGCCCGAAACAAAATCACCCCTCTCTCCACTCCTTCCTTCTCCTACGCACTTTGCTTTTCTCCAATCTGCGTTTGCTGTTGTGTTACAGCCCTGTCTAACTGTACAAAGCAGAAGCTTAGGAATTAAACTTTGATTTTTCTCCCTATCCACATTTCAGCAATCAAATGAATCATTAAGAATTTAATGTCTACCTCTTAAGTATCTTTCAACTTCTTCTACTTTTCTTCATCCTCACTGCCACTATACAGCTCCTGGCTACCAACTGATTCCTATAGTAGCTTCCTAACTAGTCACCTTGCTGATCTTGCCCACCTTCAATCCACACTCTGTGATGGACAACATGATCTTTCACTGTCGTACATCTGATCATGTTGCTTCCCCGTTTACAATCACTGGCTCTCCACCAAAATTTAGTATGGTAGAACACTTCTAAAAATTGGTTCCTCCTCACCTCTGCACTGTATTGTAGAACACTTCTAAAAATTGGTTCCTCCTCACCTCTGCACTGTATCTCCCCATTCTCTACATCCTACAGTTCCGCAGGTCCCTCTGGATGACATGCGGTTATCCTGTGTCTGGGCCTTTGCTCTCAGCTTTCCTCACCATCCTTCCTCCCACCTATGCAAACACAGTGTTTTTCTAAATCCTTTATCTCCATGTCTCAATTTAGATGTTACTTGCCATTGATGCCCATGCTTCCCAAACAAGGAGCATCAATTTTACCTAAAAACTTGGTACAAATGAGAACTCTTGGATGCTACCCAGACCTAGTGACTCCAAAACTGTGGAGGGATGGTCCAACAGTCTACTTCAACAAACTTTTCCGGGAATTTTGATAATGGGTAAAGTTTGAGAACTGCTGCTCTAAACAATTTTTCCTAGCAGCTCTA